AGAGGAGCAGAAGCGCGCCGTTCTGCCCAGCCATCGCCCCTCCGGCTGCTGTCGGGCCAGCGTCCCGCCTTGCAGTCCCTGCCCTGAGCTGCTGCTGCTCTGGGAGTTGCCGCGCTGCTGAGGCGGTTCGGCCTGTTCCCACAGGGGGGTTAAGTTCGGTCCGTCCCAGATCAACAGCCATGCGAGGGGCCGCTCCGGGCTGAGGCAAGGTCAGCCCATGTTTGGGGAGGCTCAGCCGAAGGAGGAGACACTTCAGCCCTGGGAGGCAGCAAAATGCTGGAGCTAGTGGAAGCAAATCACCCGTTTATGAGAGGGATGCAGAGGCACAGAGCTCGGGAGGCTTATCTGTGGTCTCACCCTGGTGGCCCATCAAGACAGGGTCCCATCCTGCCTGGGGGGGGTGAAACAGGTCAGGCCTGCCCAGCCCTCCAGAGCTGAATCTGCTCCCAGCCCCTGGAAGCTCTGCTTGGCCGATTGGGAGGGAAAGACCAGCTCCTCTGGTAACCTGAGCGATTTTAAATACACGCTCTGCCGAGGGGCCTGAATACAATGGTTTGACCACGCAGCTCTTATTCCCAGGGCGGTCTCATGGCTATGCTGCATCTATTTTTGTGGATCCCCAAGGAATGTTCCTCCAGCCATTTCTAGCAAATTAGTCACAGTGACAGCCGAGGAGTGCTCTGGAAACAGTGTACTTAGCAGAAACACTCAGCTGTTCAGACTTGTCTGACTGTATAGAATGACTAGTGCCCGTTTACATATTGCATTTTCCTGGTAAATTGTTACTTTTTTGCCTAAGGCAAAGCATAGTACTTGGAAATCCTTGATTGAGGAGATGATTAGGCAGGAATGTGATTGTCAAATAGACTGATTTTTTTTTTCCTTCTATAAAATCTTGTCCACTGCTCTTTTTACCTGCCAGTAAATCTCCTTCCCTGCACTATGACTTACGCCTAAAAGTTCTCTCAGTGTGCAGCCTGCCCTGCTTTTTGACAGTGTGTACTCTGCTTATTAAAGTTATTACTCAAAGCCCAGCAATACACACTGTGTGTGTATAGATCCGTGGGGGACATCAATAACTAATTACACCAGATGCAACTTGCACCATAAGGCAAGTCAACATCACAGGAATGATAAAGACGGGCCACCTCATAACCCTAAACAAAAGGGCTAGCTCTGCTGGAAGAGAGGCGCAAGCTTAAACTCTGCTAATTGGCAAATACAAATATTGGTCTCTATTTTAATATAGTAAGCAGTCGGTCCCACTGAAGCATCCTGGAGTTAGTGTTCATACCAAGGCTTTTATCAGTTTCAGGCCAGTGGTGGAGTCTTGGCACAGGTCTTTTGTGTCTGTAGGCAAAGACCCTGTGCGAGCCAAAGCAAATAAGGTGCCATCTCTGGGCTGCGGTGGAGTCTGTGCAGCAGACACTGACCTACTGTCCAACTGGCTGTAATGACATGTTAGTCCCATCAGGGGACTAATATGTTCAGTATTCCTTCTAGGACTGCTACACGATGAAAGCAGGCTGAAATCTGATTCAGGCTGCCCTCGCCCACTGCTTCTCATATCGTTGTTTCTCAGTTGCCGGCTACCTTGGGTGGTAAACACAGACAGCAGAACAACCAGCCAGCTAGGTCTGAGAATTGACTGCTCATTACTTGTCAGCTTTATTGACTTGCAACTTTCTGCTGCGTTTTTCCAAAGACCTGAACTCTACAGATCTCACTTAGAGCTGGGTATGTGGTGACCACTGGCCTCTGGAGCCCTCCTAAAAGCACAGGACCAAGTGCCTTCCCAGAGCAACTCCTTGCATGGCAAGGCAGTAGATCTACACAAATTTGTTGCACTTTTTATTACATAAATCATGGGCGTAAGGCACCTTGTCCTTGTACTTTGCCTGCTGGCTTGATTTTTGGGGATTTTTTTTTTTATATTCAAGTTCCTCAGTTATTAGGCTTAACTTGCACTTTCTGTCTGGCTCTGATTCTTAAGAAGCCCTTTCTTCCTACCTCCTCTGACAACGCTGCCTGGTTCTGCTGTGCGTGTAGAACCTCTTACCCAGCTAAGCTGGAGGCCACCATCACCGCAGGTAGCCAGAGACATTTCCCAGTGAGATGGGAGACGTGGGTTTGAATCCTCTCAGTCAGCAGATGGATGCTGCTTATACCCCAATTTAAAAAAGCATTTCTCGGAGGAGAAACAAGGTGTGGAGGCTGGTCAGTTAGAAAGGAAAAGAGGGTGGTAATGTTTGCTCTGCTTGATTTGTCTCATTATGTGAAATCAATATTGGAAAAGTAGTCTGTAATTTGTAATGCAGCAACCTTCCTTTCTCCCATCCCTTCCCAAAGCCAGCTGCAAAGTGCAAAGGCTGGTTTTATTTCTTGGAGACTATTTCCTGCTGCACTTTTGTCCAGGAAAGCAGACACTGCACAGCAGTGGGGGCAAGTAGTTCTTGGGGATGCAGATGACTGTCTGGTAGTAAATGGCCCTTTTTTTTTTTTAACAAAGGGATTTTTGTACAAGACCTCCTGTGGGTCATGCTGATTTGATCAGGATTTGCACCGTGGAATGTCATGTTTCCTTATAGAGAGCACTTCAGCAAAGCAAACTCCTCGCACCTTTTCTTACGTAGGTGTTCCTGGACTTTTATACAATTTCCTGGAATTTAACTGCTGACTGGCAAGTCTAGTGCCTGCAGTGGGAAATGAAAACCTCATTAGATAGTCAGCTGTTAATGCCTCCAAACTCCAAGGGACCGTGGAGTTCAAACTCTTTTATGGGACGGTGTCTTCCTTCTGCGTTTTCCTGACAGAGGTAGGTTGACACACAGAGCCAGGAGTAACGCAGGGTAGAGGTGTGTGAGCTTCCCTGCCCCTAGGGAATGTCCACTGTGGCAGAATGAATGATTTCATGAGCCTGCTGTTGCATTGCTGACATTCATGTTTTTCCCATCCCAGCAAAAACTCTAGAAACATCCTCAGCTGTGTGTCTGCTGAGGGATCAGCTCTGTTGACAGCATTTGCTTTCTTTGTAAATGCTCAATTCCCTTTGCTCTTCAGAGACAAACAAACAGGATAAAGACTTTGCTCCACGTGTCTGTAAGCCAGCCGGGTTCTCTTTGATTAATTAGCTACTGCAGTGATCTCTGCGGGCACAAGGCTTTTCAGTTGCTTTCCATCGTGACTCCATCCTAGCTAGTGTCAGGCACATTTACAAACTGCAGGAAAATTACTTTGTTTTGGTGTTGCCTGTGGGCATGGGAGCAAGAGTAGCAACCATCTGCCCTCCTTAGGATGCTCTGCATGTAAAAATTTTTCCAGACCCTGCTTCCTTGGAATTTATTAAGTATTATGTAGCTGGTCAGTTGTCTTCATCCTAACTTCTGTCTTTTTCTCCACTGTCTCTAAAGCCATAGGACACCGTTCTCAAGTCAGTTAGCTGTTCCTGGTTCAATACCAGCACCTTCAGCATGGTATCTAAATGCCTCCTCTGGAGTGATCTTTCAATAAGCTTTGCAAGTATTACTGATAACAGAGCCAAGCAGTGGAATTCCTATATAGAAATGTGACCTGCTCCATGCCACGTGCCCGGCCTGAGCTGACTGCCCTCTGCAGATAGCTTTTACACTGTCTTCAGTTTCATTACCTTTTAATAGTGAAATATGACCATACAGGGAAAACCTAACACAGTTCACTGATTTTCCAGTTGGCTACAGGTATTTCATTTATCACTCACTGGTGGATATGCTTCTAACCTCTGACTTGTCTGTTCATGTTCTCAGGGACATCAAACAGTGAAGGAGCTGGCAAAGTCAGCCTCTTGAAGAAAGTGCCAGCACTAAAGGATGGAGACTTCACCCTAGCAGAATGGTAAGAAGTCCTCAGGCTTCCTTAGGTACGAGTAATCTGTGCGGCATTTAGGAGATGTCACTCCTGCTGGATGACTAAGGATCACAGGATTTATGAACATGTTGGTTATTTTTAATAGTATAACCTCATTTGCTCTGTTTGAATTGTCTTTCAGAATGTAAACAAATCAGCTGACTTAACTTCTTGATCTTACCCTGAATGCACTTACCTCAAAATGGGATTACAAACATTTCTGGGAAATGTTTAAAGCTTACAAAAATCCCTTTTACACTAGGAAAAAAAATCCCATTTATCCTAGGAAAAAAAAATCTGTTTATCTGAATTAGTCATAAAAGCCAAGTGAACACCTACAGATTTAAAATTTCAGTTTTACATTGTAAGATGAATATAGAGACTGGTTAGTGGTGTCATAGTACTGAAATAATTGAACTGCAGTAGTATCAGCATTGTAGGAGGGTCTGCATTTTCTTCCGTTTTGGCAGCACAGGATTTTCTGTGGCATCTCTTTTTGTAGTAACAGCCTACAAATTGTTGCAGATGACTAAGATATTTTTCCATTTGACTTCTGCCAATTAGTGAAAGCATAAACATCTGGGCAAACACAAAAAGATTCTGTAAGCTCTCCTTGCTGGGACTTCCACTGACTTCAGTGGAAGCTGCAGGCTGAGATAAATCTGATGAAAGGGCAACGTAACCCATTAGAGAGGTTCATTTAGTACACAAAGCGCATGAACATGCCCAGGTCTCAGAGAGATGGGTCAGAACAGTCAAGGAACAAGTGGGGTTAACACTGCTCATAGATGCTTGTGGAGATTTATAATTTGTTTACAACAGTACTGTCCAGCAGTACTCTGCACCGTGGAACAGTGCTGTGATCTTCCAGCAGATTAAAGTTTTCATGGGAACTAAGGTGATGAAGTGCCATCTCTGATGTCAACATGAATTAGATGCCTATATATAGTCCCTAGACGCCACTGGAAATCCTGATCTGAATGCTTTTTGGTGGAAGCAGCACGTTCAGAAGGGGCAGGAGAGGGAACTTAGGGGAAAGCATTCTGTGTCATAACTCCCTGACCCCATTCTTGTCTCTTATTAATGTCTGAGCAGCACTGCCATTCTGCTGTACCTGAGTCGAAAGTACAACACTCCCGACCACTGGTACCCATCTGACATACAAAAACGGGCCCAGGTAGATGAATACCTCTCATGGCATCATGCTAACATCCGGGCTAATGCTCCTAAGACCATGTGGATCAAGGTAAGAAGACTGAATATTAAAATGCGAGTACAGTGATATTTTCCTGGCAGAATACTGAGCATTTGAACAGCCTCAATTTGGAGAGAGATTGTCACGCTGAAATAACAAACCTACGCCATTCCTAGCTGAGAGGAGCTGGCAGAGAGGGAGCTGCTCCTACTTGCTCAATGTCAGGATCTGGCAAAAGCAGCTTTGGTAATTTTGTTTTTTTCCTTAAAGTAGGTTTGGTACAGAAGGTTTCAAAGCCCAGCAGAGTTCCATTGCCTGGATTTGTGAACAAATATATAATAGATTGGATATTGCCTCCAAGAACCTCCCCCTCGCTGCACAGCTGTGCAGAGTGTGCACATAGGCAGAAGTTTTGCTCCTCTGGAGAGCATGTGCTTTGTTGCTGGGAGCAGAGACGCTTGCATTCTTCATACAGCAAGTCCCTGCAGTCCCATCAGGGTGGATATCTAGAAGGAGCTTTCTGCTTCCAGCACACGTAGGTACTTCTCTGAAATGGGCGCAGGGATAGACAGAATAGAGCCACAGAGAGAATGGCAGAATTTCTTTATTTGGTGTGGTCAGACCAATTTATATTTAGGCAAAATTAACAGAATCACCCTAAGGCAGAAGATCATTTAGTATCAGTTGATTCTGCTGGACACGGATTCCCAGCCAACTCACCAGACAGTTAATGCAACCATCCTTAGAGAGGCCCAGGTGCAAATGTAGCCCTGCAAGTACAGCTGTGGTATGGAATTTCAGGTGAGATCAGGGTTGCCAGTAAACAGGTAAGAACTTCGCTCTTCTTGTTTAAAGTTTGCCCTTGTTTGTGCCTAACAAAATGTATCAGGACTCATTTAGCTTTTTCATTTATTAACATTTTAATTTTTGGCTGGAGAGCACAGAGAAGCAATTCAAATATGAGTCAGATTCATACGAGAAGCAGTTTATTCCAGTCACTGCAGGCTGTTTTTGCAGTGCTCCAGGGGAAAGAAACCCAACTAATTGCTGATGATGATTAGATAACCCAGATACAGAAAAGGTCCTCAGAATAATTGAAAATAGGGAAACATATAAAGCCACCATGTCACTGAAGGCATATTAGCTAGGCATGGGAGAAGACAGACTGCCCTGAGATACAGAAAAGGAAGAAGATGCTGTTTCAAGTGATTATACCCAGAGATCCCATCATGCATAATTGGAACCACTTAGGAAGAGAACTGGCCATGAATTTTATGATGAAATAGATTCCACATGTATTTGGCAAAAATCCTGGCTTGGATTAAGCAATCCCAACTTGATTTGTTGAATATACTAGCAGTAAGTAGAAATTCAGTCCACTCCCAGCGATGGAAATTTATATCTTTAATTTTGTTTCTCTAAATAAACTACATTTCTTTAGCTGTGGTGGGTGGAGGCAGGATAGTTGTGAAATGCTGTGAGCTTGTGCATACACCTCCATGAACTGTGAAAAATCTCATGGAAAGGCAACTACCCCCTGTGCCAGCAAGTCCGTGGGGACGAGGACCACACTTACATGATTGCTTTGGAAAAATTTCTAGTGGTTTAAAGAATGATGCTTGGGAGGCCACAGAAAGGCTGGTATAAAAATGGTGCTTACCCACTCCCAGCCTCGCTGGCTGCTGTCACGCACAGGAAGCCATTTCCTGCCTCTGCAGCCCGTGTTGATGCATTCCAGTCCCTCCTACGCTCCCTGCCCCAGCCACCACCATGTCCTCCTTTCCATCACCCTACAGCACAGGCGGCTGGCTCCCTGCCTGCCTCAGCACCCAGTTACCCAACAGAGTGGCTAGCAGGGGTGGCTGGTGGGCAGGCTGGGGGGCAGGCAGCCTGCTGACCCGTCTGGGCAGGCTGTTGAAACGGAAGACATATCAGGGGTGATCATGGCAGAGGTTTGTCTTCCTTGGAGCTGTTGGCTGTTTTTCTTTTGTAACCCACCAAGGTGAAGTGGGAAGGCACAACTGCCAGGCACAAAATGAGCTGAATCCTTGACTTCCTTTTGCACATTGCTGTTCGTTAGCTGGAGATTACTGTCACGGCAGATCAGCCACTTAGGACTGCTTGCGTGTTCTCTGTCCATGAGCTGCCTGCAACTGCAGCAGTCCATGAAGCTCTAGCATCATCCCCTCCTGCAGCTTGGCTGCAGGCTCACTGACAATCACGAGTAGTTCATGAGGTGTAACTTAAATGACTGCCACCAGGTCCATGAGAAGATGGCCAACTGTACTCTAAAGTCCCTTCTCTCCTCAGGTGCTGATTCCCCTCTTCACAGGGCAGCCATTGCCCTCCGAGAAGCTCCAGGAGGTTATGGAGGGACTGTCCACTTCCCTGAAACAATTTGAGGAGCGGTTTCTGCAGGACAAGGCTTTTATCATTGGGAGCGAGATCTCTCTGGCAGATCTTGTGGCCATTGTGGAGCTGATGCAAGTGAGTGCTGAAGTGTGGTAAGGAAGGCTCAGCACAAGGGAAAACGGATGCTGCTGGGCAGGGAGGGGTGCAGCATGCAGTAACGCTTCACTGGACAGAGGGGTGAGGGCATATCTCAACAGAACTGGTCTAAAACAATGAGGAGGATACGGAAGTGGGTTCAGAAAACCAATTAAAAAAAAAAAAAAGCTGGCTGCAACAGATCTCTTTTGTTTCTCTAACAATACTACTTCTTCTTCTTCATCCTTTATCGTGACTTTATTTTTAACCTCCAAAGAAGGAGGTAATATATAAAAGTGAGAAGCAATAGCAGACAAGTCTGATGAAATAAGAAAATGATGCAGGGGTATTTTTATCATACAGGAATATTCTTCTTCAGATGGTACTTGCCCATGCCATGTCTGGAAGATGCAAGACTGAATCTCAGACAGAGGCAATCAAATTAAGTGTGTTACAAACTGGTTGTCCTCTGCCAGACCGTCAGGGCCTGGATCCTGCAGCCAAGAAGTGATTCTCCCAGTTCTGTATCCCAGAGACTGAAAAATAGCAATTCTGCTTCTCTACAGCATTGTGTTCCAGAGAGTGGCACAGGCAGAAAGTAGAAGGGGGGAGATGGTGTCAGCTAAGACATCAGTTCAATTAAACGCTTGGCGTTTTGTGCTGTGGTTTTGCTGTCCAATATAGCACTCCGTACTGTGGACTGTGCAGTTGTCCCTGGAACTGTCAGCCCACCACATCTTCAATGCCATAGCTGAAAATTGCTCACAATAAGCGATAGTCATCTCTGCTGCTCACAACAGCTGTTCCGGCACTCAGGAATTGACTTGTAAATGCCCTTTAAAATACAGGCTAGCTTTTGTGTCCCCCAGATAGATACACCCGACCAGAGGAGATTTCCCTCCTTCGTAGTGCTCCTCTATGAGCTCCTCTTCATTTTTTTTCCTCAACCTGTACCCGCAGGTACACTTTTGGTGTCTGTTGACTTGGTGAAGAAGTGGCCGCCCAATGCCTCACTGTTGCTCTCTCCCCCTTTCTGCAGCCTGTTGGAGTTGGTTGCGACATCTTTGAAGACAGACCAAGGCTGATGGAGTGGCGCAGGCGGGTGGAGGATGCTGTGGGGAAAGAGCTTTTCTTCCAAGCCCATGAGATGATCCTCAATATCAAAGAACTGAGCAACATTCAAATTGATCCACAGCTGAAAGAGCATCTGGCACCTATGTTGATGAAAATGTTGAAATGAATTAACATATCTTACCATTTTCCTGCCCCCTTTTTTTTTAACTACTTCTTTGACCTCCAGTTCTACACATAACTGGAAAGAGCACTGTAATTCTAACACAGAAATTGCAGTGTTTCCCCCCCACCAGGCCTTTCCTGTATCTTTGGCGGTGGAAGCAGGGGAAGGTTTAAGACCTGAAACATTAAACTTATACAAAAGGCCGAGGCCCTACAGGTCACTTAGTGTGCATCTGAGTTTTATTTCAGTGTCAGTCTTCTTGGAGATGGTAGGGACATGAATGGTATTTCCTGGCAAAATTTGAGCCAGCCTGCAAACTGGGAACATTAGAGAACTGTATAGATGAGCATTTTTTTCCTGTGGTTTTAACATTTGCAGCTCCCTCTCAAGTGGCAAGAACTGCAAAGCGTGCCCGATCCTCACCTTCCCAGCACGTGTCTGCACAGACAAGTACAGCACAAAACTGCAGGCAGTCACAAATGTGAAAAAAGACACTGATTTTTTTTTTTTAATTTTTATTTTGAAGTTTCTTATTGCTGAGGCATCTTGCTTGGCTGTCCATGTACGTTCCACACTCCTATTTGCCGTTAGGTTCCTGTGAGAAGTTTCTTCACGTTCATCTACAACTGTGAATCTTCGTAATTCTTCAGTTTAATCACTGCTCTTCATTTCTGAAAGCCTGGGTTTCATTGGTGCTTGGTCTGCCAGTAGTCATGTGGCAAGGGCTTGGAGGTCTGTGCATAAAGACCAAGCAACTTCAAAAAACTGAGGGTGGCCACAGCCTTCGAATAACTACCTAAAGTACTTGGTTGCTATTATATAGGGACTACACTGAAAGAATGCATGCACAGTGATTGCTTGAAATATGACAGCAATCAGTTTGGTTTTTTCTGCTGTAATAGCAATCCACATTTCTCCTAGAAAATGCAGAGGGGGAATAAATCTAGACGTGCTCTCCTGAGACTGTTTTGGATGGAAGTTCACCAAGTAAGTCACCCTGTGCAGCTGAAGTAATAGGAGAGATTTGGTGGCATTGAGCAACGTATGCATCACAATAAAAGGTCAGAGAGTTGTTTTGGAGCTTTTGGGCTCTTTCTCTTGCCTGTGTTTGTTTCTGGTTAGTTGTAGCTCAAATACAAACCCCTTTTGTACTGCAGCACAATTTATGAGGTAAAACTGAGAGAATCCAACCATTTCTAGTTTCTTCAGTTGAAAATAGCAAATGGTAAAGGATGCAGAAACTGGTGGAATGCAGAGCTCTGCATGGGTCTGTTTGTAAGTAGTTGTTGCCCTTGAACCTTACCCTGAAATCCTTGCCCAAGAACGCTGCCTGTAAGGAGTAAGACAAAATGAGTAAATAATGCAGGAATGGCTTCTCTCACTAATCAAATAGCTTCTTTTTTTTCCAGTACTACCACGCCTTGGCTAGTGACATTTCTGCTAGTAAGTTCTACAAAACCTGATGTGTCCTGGTGATGTTTTTCACTAAGGTTTCAGTTCTAGATACTACTGATTCTGTCCAGAGCTTAGGGAGATCTTTAAATTCCCTGTCTGGAAAGAGATTTCCATTGTATATGTCAGCTTGCATTAGCAGGCAATTTTGTTTTGTGATGATGTTCTCTGTTAGGACAAGAGAGCTGACTGAAGGCCCTCTCTTTTCATGAACCAAAAATACTAGAAACAGGCACACGTTTATTCCCACCCTTCCTTTCTTTTCTTCCCAAACAGTAGCTGAACAATATGTTTTTATTGATGTTTTATTCACAAAATATTGTCTACAACTGAGTTAAATTTTAAACGGGAAGTGGTTGATTTGTTTTACAATTTTGAGAGTGGAGTTGCTAAGTGGATGATGACACGCGCAAATGTCTGCATGAGGGAAAAAACTACCATGGTTTTCCAAAAGCTGAGCATATTTGAGAGTACTTGCTGCTATGCTGTCCTCTCTTGGTTGTATATTCATCCCCCTACAAGCGTTTTAATCACCCGCTCTAAGGCAGAAACAATAAACCAAATGTCTTTAGTTCAAAAACTCTGGGAGGTTGTGAACAATCTGCCATTCACATGGTGAACCATCAAGACAAAGGTCAATGCGTATCATGGAAGATGTTTGTGACAGCCCCGTGTCCTGTTGTAATTGCGGACATCTCATATTTGAATCTTTTCTTTTTGGAGGCCTTCTCATATGCTGGTTTCTTGCCATTTGGGATTTTTTGGCCTTGGAATCGGAAGGGATTTTTAGTACTTGAAGGAATGAGAGAGAAATAGAAAAATGGATCCTAAATGGCATCTTACTTGGAGGCAATGACTCCCAGCAGTCGGGCAGTGGTGGGCTTGCACCCGAGGTTTGCAAGGTGGCTGAATACCCCCGCTGCCTTCGCTTTGTTAACAAACTTGGGATCATCTCTTCCATTTACAAGATTATATCTTTTTGTAAATTTACCCTGGGATCTTAACAGTTTTCCTAGGTTATTTCTGCTGCTGCTTTCCTGGATATGAAGGGAGCATCTGTATTAATGTTTACCACTGCAAGCAGCTGCCCCCTGCCAGCCTGCTGTGCCCCGTCCCCTCTCCGTTTGGGTCTCTCTCTTCACGTTCTCTCTCATAAAAATCTTTCCAGCCTTATTGCTGGCTGGTTTATACATGCCGCTCCTCCTGCCACTATTGTCTTCATTAGCAGCAGTGAAGGCCAAGCAATCCCCCCAGCAAAAAAAAATTAGCAATTCCATCAGTTTTCATTAGGATTGTCTGGAACTGTAGAAACCAAAAAGTCACATTATACAGGGCCAATTTTGACAACGGTGCTGTGCCTTAAACAAGATGACCTTTTAATCTAGCTGGTTCATAACCTTTTGCTGTAAATGAGCACATGTAACCCTCGTTGGAAAGTAGCTCAGCTTCTGAGAAACCTCTGATCTGTAGATAAGATGCCTCTGATCTGTAGATTAGACTGTCCCTGTGAGCCAGCCTGCCAGGGTCACTTTTATTAACTTTGGAGCTCAAAGTCCTGATTGCAGAAGCTAGTTTGGTAATTATGTACATTGGGTAAAAAAATAAACCTCTCTGCTAGCCTTTTAATGTCTTGAGGTGCTGGTTGTTCTGAGAAGTCACTGCTCCTCCACTCCTAACCCTCCCAACACAGACAGGCGCGGAGGTGTCCCTTACGGTGACCAGAAACGTCGTCCCGCCGGCAGTACGGCCCATCACAAACCTCGCTTCACCCCCCCGCCAGGGAGATGCGATTCTTTTGCTCTCACCGTCTCCAGCACACATCCCAGCAGCGCACATCCTAAAAAGCTGCAGGCCCGAAAGCCGGCTGGTGCAACTGGGGTGAACAGGGAAAAGCCGAGGCCCTGACCTGGGGCCGGCACGGGCCGAGACGCCGGTGGTGCGACCGCAGGCTGCTCC